TTAATCTTGGATTTCCCAGCTTCCAGAACTGTGAGAAACAAAATTATGTTGTTTAAGCCACCCAATGCATGATATTTATCTTGGCAACTTTGAGCAGACTAAGACAGTGACTATTGTTATGGAAAATTTAGAAAAATCCAAAGAAAAACCATATGAATCTATTGTAATATCTATGATTTTTTGATTATTTTAATAACATTTCTACTGTTTTCAACTTACATAAAACATATGGTCACTGTATTAAAATTAGAAAAAGAAAAAAATGCCAAGAAGGAAATGAAAATTCTATCACCCACAAATAACCATAGTTATAACTTTAGTGACTATATTTCTATGGTTACTATACAGTTATAATATTTTTTGCCATTGAGATCTTAGCAGATCACACAATATATATAATTTTGCAGCCTGCATTATTCACCTAACAAACTAATGTGATTTCCCGCCCACATATTTAACATTCCTTAACAAAAGAATTATTTTCAATGGCACCATAATCTTCTATCAAATAGGCAGATTATTATTTATTCATTCATTCAGTTTTCTGTTGTTTTCCATTAGGTTGTAATTTTTTGCTGTCATAAAGCATGCTCCGATGAATATATACATCTGTATTTAATTTTCTGATTATTTCCCCTAAATAACTTCTTAGTAAGATTGCTAGGTCAAATTATGTAAACATGCTTGAGAATTTTGATAGCTATTGCCAAAGCATTTTCCAGGAATATTTCAGGAGTTTATGCTCCCACAAATAGTGAATGAGAGCTTCTACCTACTTGTGGTATACATGAGGTTTCAGCAATGCTAAATGCAGCCATTTAGAAACATATTTGTGGGTTTGACAGGGAATTTTATATCCATGTTTTAATTTGTATGTCTTTAATTACTTGTATAAGTGATTTTGATTTGATTTATCATTTATTAGTCATCTGTGAATTTCTTGTTAAATCCTTTGCTATTTTTCTATTGGAAGTATTTTTCACACTGATATGAATTTTCTTTTTCTTAAAGCAATAAGCAACATCTAACTTTATCAGATTTAGTGTAACAAATTTCCAATTTGCCACTGTGTCTATGGGTTTTTTCAATGTACAGAATTATTATATTTTAAAAGTTCTTTGTTTTTAAATGTTCTGATAGTCTTTTACTATCCTAAGTTCATATAAAGATTCATCTGGTTTTCTTCAAATTTTTTATCATTTTATTTTTCTCTTTTACTTTTAAACTGTGTGAAACTCCTCGTGTAAAATTTGAGCAAAGTTATTTCTCTGCTATATTTGTTAGCGTAAAATTATCTCAGCCCTACTTATGGACTAATCTGTTTTTGTTCTCCCAACTGAGCTGGAATGCAATCTTTATAATAAACTAATTCTTATTAGCTTCTGCTCTTAAACAATCCAACATATCTAATACTTCTAGAATTATAATAATTCTATATATTTTTTCTTATATTTTAATATCTGAAAGAAGTTGCTTATTGTTCTTTGTTTTCAAATTTTACTTGAATACCCTTGTATATTGATTCTTATAGATGAATTTTGAAATTACAGTCCAACACTCTAAAGTCATCCTGCAGGGTTTTGACTATAGTTGTGTCAGGCTATTAATTAATTTCATAAGAATCAGTCTTTGCAGCCAGATTGAATTCTGTGGCATTGTTTTATATATGTGTGTAAGCATATATAAAAAATATATATGTATCTTTTTTAGTCCTTCAGTAAAATTTTATAATTTTTTATAAGGGTCTTGCATTTGAAAATAATTGTCATTCCTAATTGGTTTTGCTGTTAGGATAGATTTCCCCCCACTATATTTTCTGAATGCCTATTTTTGTGAACAGGAAAACTATCACTATTTTATAATTTATTTTGTCCTTGGCCACTTTATTAAACATTTTTCTCTTATTATTAATCTTTTATTTGATTCACATAAATTTTCTAAGAATAAAATCATATTAAGTCCACATGATGGTGATTTTGTCTATTTTTTAAGACATGAATTATTTTTCTTATTCTGATTTTAAGTTTTATTGTATTGGTTATAATCATAAAAATGAATGTTCTTAACAAAGGAAAACAGAGAAAAAGGGCATCTCTTGCCCTCATGAATAAATAGACAGTTGGAATGCTTGGTTTTTCTTTCCTTTCCCATGTCCCTTTCTGATGATGCTTTGCATTTTTTTTTCTCGATGAAGATTAAAATTTTTAATTCATTTATTTTCTGACCATTTTTTGTAGCAGTTGTATCATGTTCTAGTGGTCTTACTGCTTAGTATTATTCATTTCACATTATGACTTTCCCATAGTGAAGGAATTTCATTCATTTCTTAATAATCTGAAATGTATGTGAGTGATATGTTTTCCTAGTTTTTGTGTACATGAGGATATCATTTGTTTCCTATAACCAAAAGTAATAATTAAGCTGGATATAGAATTCTTATGTTAAAACATTTTCTCCTAAAAACTTCATATTTTATCCCATTTTCTTTGACATTCATTGTTGCAGAAAACAGATCTAAATATAACTGAACTTTCCCCCATGCCTATAATTCATACTTTTCAATTCAGTTATATTTAAATGTTAGTCAGTTTTTCATTAACTTTGCTATATTCTGAGTTAGCCTATTTGATCTAAAGACATGGGTCTTTGGAACAGGAAAGTTTTCTTCTTCTTCTTCTTCTTCTTCTTCTTCTTCTTCTTCTTCTTCTTCTTCTTCATAGTTGCTTAAGTTTAATTTATTCTGAATTCTTCTCCAGTACCACCAATAATGTATAGGTTTAATATCTGATGTCTTGACACTCCAGATGTTTAACTTTCCTCTCAAAAATTTTATGTCTTATGCTTTCACTATATGCTGTGAGGTTTTCTCAACTTAGTCCTCCCTAATACTGATTTGATTTTCTATAATATTCAGTCTGTCTTCTGCTTTCAAAACAGATTTTAATTCTACCACTGAGTCTTTTGTTTCCATACCTTCTCTCCTCTTTTCATTTAGCTCTCTACTTACCCTAGCTTGAAACACTGTTCCTTCTCTTACTAGCTGTGTGATCTGAGTTAAGATATTTAACCTCTGTTCTCCATTTTTGTCATCAATAAAAGGAAGATAATAATTATTTCCATAGAATGAAACAAGATTGTCCTTAGAAACTTTTAGAAAAGTTTCTATGCCATAGAAATGTCCCAATAAATGTTAACTGCTATTATTGTTACCTTCGTCGTCATCATCATCATCATCATCATCTCTGCCGCATCTCAGCAATACTTCTTTTCTTTAAATTGCTGTCATCTCATTTCTCTGTGTGTTTGTGTGTGTGTGTGTGTGTTTATGGAAGTCAAATTTTATTGAATTTGGGGAAAACCCAATACAGATATTCTCTAAAATGTATTCCTGCTGTAAATCTTTTTCCAAATCTTCACCTTGAGGACTGTGTAAAACATAGAGTTTTCTATGTTGTAGAATACTTTCATAAGCCTCATATGGTTGCTGTTGTTAATTTTTTTTATCTATGCCTCCTTGTACAAGGAGAGATCTTTTGACAGAAGACAGGATAGATTAGTTCTCTTTGTTTCCCGTACATTTTTACTTGGGATCTCTCAGGATCCTCTCCTAGATCTCAAGTCACAGAGCTGGTTCATATGCTCAGGATTGAGTCAAATTGCTGCTGATTGGCTGTTGCCTAGCAGGAGGGGTAGGTAAGAATACTCTCCCACTGCTCTATTCTATCTACAGAAGGGAATGTATTCTTGGGTAATTTTAATTATTATTCAATTCATTCATCCCTTACCCAAAGTAGTGGGTGTGAAAACTGCACTTTCCAATTGCATCGTTTCATCACTGTCTTGTCTTGCTTCATATTATTGATTCATTTCCCATATACAAGATGTCATTATGTGCCTAGTTCTGCTCCCTGCCAGGCTACAGTGTTGTGAGTTGTAGTCCCTAAATAGATCTATAAAAAGGAGTATTGGTTGTGGGGCACCTGGGTGGCTCAGTCGGTTGAGTGTCTGATTCTTGATTTTGGCTCAGGTTATCATCTCATGGTTCATGAGATCAAGCCCCACATTGGGCTCTACACTGAACGTGGAGCCTGCTTATCTCTCTCTCTTCCTTTGCCCCTTCCCTGATCATGTGCTCTCTCTCTCAAAAAAAAAAAATTAGATGTATTGGTTATGATTTAGGGCTCATGTGGACCTGGCTCCTGCATTTTGGAGGAACAAGTGTTAGGTAAAAATCATGCACGCAAGTGTGTAGAAACCTCTAATTTTCCCCTTACTTGCTTTTATTATTCTGTCTTAAAGTCTTATTCACACTTTCATGGAATTGCCCTTAGGGGTCTGGCAACATGTTGACTAATCTTTCTAATACTGTTGACACTCTGCATCTGTACATGTATTTGTATTTGTATGAATATTTCTAGGAAAACTGAGAGAAACTGACTAAGGCCCTTACAGATCGTTTTCAAATTTTTCCAAGTTAAAAAGAAAAAGAAGACTTTCTAATCATAGAATCAAAGAGGTCTTAAACCAAAACTTTGATTTTATAGTTGAAGATACTCTTCATAGAGAGGTTGCCTGACTGGTCTGAGGTCAGAAGAGGCCGAAGGCCCAGGTCTCCTCACTTCTGGGTCAGTGCTTTTGTCTTCTAGTTTCTTGCTTGTTGAAAAAAAAATATTTTCAGCTATTGTGACAAGTTGAGATTCTCAAGCCAGGGCCTTTCATATTTAGGCATTTCTTAAGCAGCAAGAAGCCTTCTTCCACATGGGAAAATAGAGAACCACAAGGAAAAAATCCAGTAAGAGCACAGAAGTTCCTCATTGTGAAAGCACGTCGGAAACATTTTATATGCTATTTTTCCCATATCCTTCTATAACTCTCTAATAACCACAAGTAAAATAAATATTCAAACTGGGAGAATAGTTCTCCTAAAGGAGTTGATTCTTTAAGACTTCATAATGTTGTGACATTTCATATTCTAATATCTCTGTCCCTTTGTATTTCAGCTGCTGGATGACTGTTCCTCTCGTCTCAAAATGGTCCACCCAGCCAGAACACTGCACACCCCAGATGGAGAACCAATTTACTCGTGGGATGACATAGAGAGAGACATGGTCATCTGTGTATCCACAGGACGTGGCTTTATAACCCAAAAGAGTATGGGTGACAGTTTCTTTTCCATCAAGTTTTTGAAGAATTAAACCATCTTGTCTTTTCTTCAAAGAGCTTACTTTCTGAATTTTATATCTCATCATGATGATTTTTAATAATTATCTTCTGGATCCACCCTTTTCTACTCCAGTTATACTTCTGTTCTGGAAATTCACTGTTGACACCATTTGCACTCAAGAATTCAATCAGAGTTCTGTTAGTCTTGAGCCTTATCCAAGGGGCTTATTTGCAGAAATTCTAAATGGCCTCATTTGAAGGTATTCCCTTAGCATGAACCCTGAGGAAAGCAAGGCTCTGTTGACTTCCTACTTTCAAGTTATTTAAAACTTAATGGCTTATTAAATAGCGACTACAGTTTGCAGAACTCTTTTTTTAGCAGTAAGTAAATATATGCTCATTTTATTATTTTATCTATTCTTTGCTAATTTTCTTTTCTAAGTGATACCAATGGAAAAGAATACATATATGTTATTAAACCAATTCTTGTTCTTTATCCTGTTTGCCTGAAGAATTTTTAAAAATTTTTTTCTAATGTTTATTTTTTGAGAGAGAGAGCATGAGTTGGGGAGGGACCACAGAGAGAGAGGGAGACACAGGATCTGAAGCAGGCAGCACAGAGCCCAACGCGAAGCTCAAACTCACGAACCGTGAGATCATGACATGAGCTGAAGTCGGACACTCAACCGACTAAGCCATCCAGGTGTCCCAGCCTGAGGAATTTAAAGCCCCTTTCAGGGGTTAGCTGTACATTAACAAAGACATAATTTTCAGGAATTCTGAAGAACATGATATCACTTTAAAGGAAATCAAAAGATTAGGAAATGAATTACCTGGGATCCCTAAAATAAGTAATACTAGATTATTTCTTTTTAAAGTCACCATAAAATTATTATTATTATATGTAAGGTACACAAACCAAAAACTTTTAAAACAGTTGCAATCATATCTTTACATTTAGCCCAGAACAAAAGTATAGGAATGAAGACTGAAAGGCAAGAAGACAAGGATTTATTGGGATGCCTATCACTGTTCTGAGGTATTCCACAAATATTCCTCCAGCACCACCCAACATCGAGGAAGAGGTTTCAATCGTATTCTTTGTATGCCCCTGTCCCTATCACTCACTATTACCTCTCACCCCAGCTCTTGGAGACCCCACTATGTGGCTACTTAGAAGAATAATTTGGGGTTCTTGTCATTAGTGTTAGCTGATAGCTTTCTGTGTTCGCAAACTGCACAGCCCTGTAAAAGAAATATAAGCCAGGGTTCCTTCCCTGAAAGAGTTTTTGATCTAATTAAGTATATGAACACACTTGAAATATTACAGTACACTTGAATAGTAAACAAACGAGCGCTACAGTAGAAGGTACTTTTCCAGTTTCTTCATTGTTTATGCTCAATCTTTCATACTCTTGGGATTGTCTTCTGTTACCCGGCCCCTATCCTCCTGGCTTCACTGTGTTCATTGCGCCTTTATGAGAAATAAAGCTAGGGCAACCTGGCCAAACAGGTATCCAAAACACAGAGAGAAATGTAGGGCCCCTTCCCAGAAGCAAGCTTGTTACCCGTAAAAGCTGAAGGAAAGAGAGAAAACAGGAAATGCAAATGTTACTTTCCCTACCAGTTTCTCCATGTTAGTTCTCTGGACCTTTGACAAGGCTATGTAGACAAACATTTTTCTTTTTTGCATCATCAATTATGTATATCCACATAGATCACTATGGTGTGAAAGTTGATTCTTTTCCTCTGGACGTAGGTTCCCATACTTCATCTTCATATTTTCACCTTCATGATGAAGAGATTAGTGGTTTTTCCCAATTGTCTAAGTGTCTCAAAGGGTGATGTATTTTCTAGGAAACTTGACTGATAGCAGAGTTTAATTTAAATGTTCTTTAGAAACTTATTTTACTATATATAAGTTGCCATTTATTGTTTTTCCTGAAATAATTAAGTTAGAAATAATCATTAAGTAGAATATATTATTAAATACTCAGAATGCTTTAAAAAAAGAAAGAAATGCTACTAATGTATCTATATCTATATCTATATATCTCTATATAGATAGATATACTTATGAAGGTACACTTAAACAATCATTACACTCAAAATTTTGCTGTGGCCTACTGGCTTAAGTATATGGTAGAAAATAAGGCAGACTGGGAGTTTCAAAAAAGTAAGCACTCTACAATAACTTATTTTATGTACTATAATATAAAAACATTTAGCATGTGAAAGTCATCAAGAATCACACTGGGTTTTTGAAAAATAGATTTGTTTTGGCAAAACAAATCATACACTGTTAGAATGGTTTCTTTCACACAGACCCCCCCGACGAAAGTAAAAGAGTGCTTTATGCCATTTGTCATCAACTTGGAGCACTGTTCTCACTGCTGTGTTTACTGTCTTTTCAGTGGGTTCAATTTCTAGACCACTCCCAGGTTAGCCTTCAATTCAGGCTTTTTACAAAGCCTGGAAGGAAGTCCTCTCCAGAACTGCCATTCTGTAGAAATCCAGAGAATGTTAGCACGTATCTGATGTGATAAGCAAGTCAAGTGTGTAATGAGAGAGTCCAGCGTGGGAGTCAAGGATTTCTGAAGGATTTTTGAGTTTTTCATCATCTTGGACTTTTAATTACTTTCTATAAATACATTGACATGTCTCTCAAAATAATCTTTTTAACAGAATTAAAGCAACTGATGGAGATCAGAGCAAATTATGCCAGAATCCGAAGGCAGCAGGGCCCTCAAGCCACAAACATTGTGGTGTCAAGATCTGAAAAGCTGCAATTTCCGGTACAGCCACACAGTTCATTTCTATCAGAGCCATCATATTTTGTGCTGTATTTTGCTGGGGTAACATATGTGTATACACTCATATGTTCATATGCTTTCTATGACATAACAATTACTTATCCTTTTTAATTTTGTATAGTATCTTTTAAAAAAGTTCCTACCCTCTACATCTTACATAGAATGGCATTTGCTGCCTCAAATGTGTTCTTGGAAAGGCAACAAACCTTGACAAGATAATGCCAATAAAATAACTATCTTAGATGTGTTTTCTCTCAGAAAAAAAAGAGAAACTACTATTATTATTTAAAAATAATTTGGTGGGGGTCAAGTAATATTTTATGTGTCTATATATATTGTGTGTGTATTTATATATATAATTTTGTGGGGTCAAGTATTGTGTGTGTGTGTGTGTGTGTGTGTGTGTGTGTGTAATTTGATAATAAAATAGGTTGTTTGACCATCTAACACTAAATTTGACCCAAACTGACATTTTTCTGGTTCAACCACCTTATTTTCTGTGTTAAAATCCTGCATTTACTGAATAAAAATGAAATGGCTGGTGGCCACTGAACACCACATGAATCAATGTCTCCTTCTCCAGTTTCCCTTCAGTTTGGCCTGTGGTAGCAAGCAGCAGTCTTTATGCGCACAGCTACATGTTGTTCACAAAAATGAAGCTGGCTATTCCAGACTAAGCTCAGTAACCGAAAGCCGTAGACTGTCCTCAGTCCTCAGTCCTCAGAACTTAGAGAAAGGTTGTATGCACTGTTAAAAAGAAAAGTCACATGAGGATTTCTTTTTAAGACATCAAGAGAGATCCTCAGCAATCTTAAGTAGCAATACTACAGGAAGAGAAAAACTTACCTATTAATTTTTTCCTGCAATGAAGAAAGAATCTCTCTCTGTCTCTTTTTTTTTTAATAGCAGTGACAAATCAGAGTTTGGTTTACGGTCCTCGTAGAAAATTTCAAGAGAAATGTTCTTCTCTCTCTTGCTTTGAAAGCCACTCACAGCTCTGTCTGAATATAAATTGCAACCTGGCTAGGTGTGTACAGAAGGGCTCAGCTGGCTCCCTCCTCAATCCACCACTTTAATGTAATGCAGTAGATCATGTCTACTGAAGGGGGCTCTTGGTAATCATTGCAAAAGGCCTAGTATTTACTCCCAGTCTGCAAATCAGTGGGGCTGCATGAATAAATTCCTGCTGCTTCCAACACCACTAAAAGGAGAGCACATTGAGGTGAAATTTCACATGTTACATCCACAGCAATTTGCCCTTTTGCAGACACTGTTGTACGATGTTAGAGATGTGAAGGCATCCCAGAACAGCTTTGTGACACATAGGAAAAAAGATTGCATGTGACCCCCATTTTTCTTTTTCTTTTTTTAACAAGAAAGTCAAAATAAGAAAGGTCAAGGAACATGCTCCAGGTCAGAAAGCGGGACAACAGGATTCTTACCTGCTGGGCTTCTGCTTAGAATGATTGGATCACAATTCCCATAGACACAGAACTTTTCATTTTTTATTTTTTCAAAATTCCTTGAAAACAAAGGCATTTCTCTAGGTGCCAAAGTACCTATCATTTTTCTGCCAAAGAAAAGTTGATTTGCTATGAAAATGGCATGATTTCACCCTGGATCAAATGTGCAAATTCTTGTGAAGTTTTCACTGTTGCATGTGAATACGCCTGAAGCGAAAATTGGCAATATCACACAACGCTCTATCAAGCACCAGGAGACATAAGGCAAAACTCTTTAACTGAACTTTTCTATTACCAGTAAATGGGATTTTAGATGTAATATAACAGTCATCAACACATCACATTTTACCAGCAAGGCAGTGACACTTACTTTGTGGACGACGGCTTGCACAGAGTAGCTTGGCAGTTCATAGCTACTTTGAACGAAGACTGAGAACAGCCCTGCTCTTTCCTTATTATTGACCTTCCTTCTTAGTTGGCCAGAAGGTGGACTGGGGAGCGGTTACTCCACCTCGGCAAGGACTATAGGATAAGACTATTGCAATTCTGTTCGGCCTTCCTGGGCTTTTAATAAACCCAGTAATTTCCTTTGGGGACATGTTTATCAAATTTGAATCAGCTTCGTATATATAAGTCACATTTCAATATTTTCCTATCAACTGGAAACCATTTATTATTAAATACTAAAACAACCATCCTCCAGTCCATGGCCTTCTCCAGAAATTTATTTCCTGCTGGTTCACAAAACACCCTTAAGGTGATCCAGATGTTAATCAACAGTGTACCAGCATTTGTGATTGTCCTCAGGAGGACTTTTCTGGATATTTTTGCCCCATCCCTAGCTTTTGTTGCCTGATGAAGTGTTGGGGTGAAATTGCATGTTTCTCAGCCAGGTGACTAAAAGTAACATGCCTGAAAGTTTGACAAACATTTTGAGATTAACTGGAAGTGTTTTATAAATAAGAAACATCTATCTGGGTACTTATGTCAGTTTTGCAAAACAGGACACGTTAGTAATGATTCAAAATGCAAAGGTCATTTTGTAGAGCAATAACCTGAATTTCCATTTCTCTCTCGATTTTCTTAGTAACTAAATTTTTGTGTGTGTGTGGATTAAGAAAGCAAAGCAAAAAACAACAAAAAGGTAAAGATAAATTTGTTCCCTTTACCAAAGAATCACTTAGAAATTGTAGCTAGTGGCTATTGCTGTGTTTATGAGCTAATCTTTAATAATAGCCCAGGTGTGCTGAGTGTCATTGAGATTTGTGATTCACCGAGGCAGCAGCTTTTTTTTTTTTATTTTTTTCTTTCTGGCATCATTTGGAAGAGAGCAATCAAAACCCACGGATCTGTGTTATTCTAGGTCATCACAAATCAGATGCAAATGTCCTCAGTTAAATGGAATTTGGACCCATTGGTGATCCTCAATTGTTTTTATTAAACCAATGGCTCCAGTTCCCTCTTGCCTCTGAGCACATTTCAACCCCTCCTAAGGCTAGGTGGGCAGAAAGAACAGCCGTTTTCTTTTCAATGCAGTGAACTAAAATTCTGCATAAGTGGCACGGCTTGGGCCGCTTGGCCTTAGCAACTGCAAAGATGGACAAAGACTGCCATTCAGGTTAAGTGCTGATGGGAGCAAATGGCCCAACTGTATAACATGGCTGTGTGGTGGGTGTCTGCTGCCAGCTATAGTATTTTCTAATTCTGTGAGTCTGTAATATAAACTATCAATAGGCTGTCACCCTGTACCATACGTGCAAATAGAAATATATGAGGGGAGAGGAAGTGCTTCTGCCCATGCTGCAGCTGGGTTGGGGGAGGGAGAAAGAAACAAGATGGAAAATTATATTTATATGGCAAGTACAATGGTGATTCTGAATTGGATGTGCAATCACTCATTGTCTGCTGTAGTCCTGTAGATATAAGTTTCAGTCAATCACTGGATCCATTAGGTCCTGGCTTTTCCATCCTAGAAGTTTCGAATGTCACCTGTGTCAGACCAACTGAGATAGCTGGGCAGTCAGACTCTCCATACCACCAGCAGCAGCTGGGTTTAAGAAAAAAAATTCCAAAAGGCATAAATGACCCTGAAGACTGTGCTAGACCGGAAAGGAAGAGAGGAGGGAATCTCCCAGAACTTCTAGGGTTGGTGCCCCCAAAAAGATGAGATTTGATTACATCTCTCTCTCTTCATTTCCACTTCTTTCCATTCTTCCTTCCTTTCTTCTTTCTCGTTGCCTGTTGTTCTTCTCTCCTCAGTCTTCCCTGCTTTTCTCATCTAAGGGCCCTTGAATTCCATCTTTTATTTTAAAACAATCCTTTCTAGAGCAATTTGTGGATCAGCAGGGATGCTTCCTTAGTATGATTCTCAAAGTTTAATGTGCACAAGAATTACCTGGAGAGCTTGATAAAGCCCAGTGTCAGGCTGATCACAGAGGTTCTTATTCTGTATGCCTGAGGTGGGTCAGGAAGTCTGCACTTAATAGGCCCCAGGGATGGAGAGCAGTTGGCTGACCACACCGGGAGAAACTTGGCCAGGACTTCTGTGTCAGCTGGGCATGGCTCAAGCCAAGGACCAGTGTCAAGAACACCAGAGGATGAAGGCAAAGAAGCACTTGCTATGTGAGTGAGGGCTTTAATCTGAATGTCCTCATGTTTTTATCACTACTTCCTTATGAAATAATGGAAATAATCTTGGGTCAAGACTAACCACCCAGAGAGTGTAACCAGGACCCAGACATTAGAGGCAAAACAAGTGAGTCTGAGGTAGTGAAGCTTCCCATGTTAATTAAGCTGCCTTCAGTGCTGATAACATCTTGCTATTTTAAAGGTCGCGGGAATAATGTCAGTGCTATGGTGCACATATCGAGGGGCAGAGTAATTTTGGGGGTGGGGACGAATAGCAAGCCTCTTGAGTTTTCTTCTGCATTTTTGTATGTACAAAGAGAGAGCACTTTAGAACAAGGATGGGATCCTATTTGCCGAAGTGACCTTTTCCCCACTGAAGGAGCTGCTTATTGGTGGGGAGGCCAAACCTCTTTATGTTTGCTCTAAGTCTAGTTAATGCGGAAGGCTGAGCCACCGACATCCCTGGCAGGCTCGTCTAAGAGTGTGAAATTCCACAGGATATTATTTCAGTTCAATAATAAGTGCTCTTAGAAAAACTAATTTTTAAGATAGTTCTCTTGTTCCCTAATTGAAATCCGTATAGGCTGAGAGACAGACATTTTCCTTGAAAGACAGAAAATACAAAGAAAATTAGTTTTTCAAAGAGCAAATTCATATATATATATATATGTGTGTGTGTATATATATATATATATATATGTGTGTGTGTGTATATATATATATATATATATATAGCCAGGCACTCTGTTCTGTTCTGGCTGCTAGGCATGCAAAGGTATGGTGCTACTTGGATAGTGCAGAGGCCTAGAATGTTGGATTAATAGGCACTAGGTGAAGTGAGAGGTGTGGGCATGAACCAGATTGTGGACAGCCTTATAGGTCATGTTAAGGAGTTTAAGGAGTTTGGATTTTTCTTTTCTGAGCGCAGTGGGAAGTGATTAAAAGGAAGTTAATATTAAAGATGATTAGACATTGTGTAATAAATTAAGCTTACTTAGGTTACAAATTACAGAGACATACTCAATTTACCTCCAGTGGTGGAGGTTTGTTGGAAGGATTAACAAGGAAGTGAGAGTGCACAGGGAAGCCCGGCACACAATCTTCATGGTGGTCTCTGTTCAAGATGCATGGGCGCACCTGGGTGGCTCAGTCCGTTGAGTGTCCAACTCTTGATTTCAAGTCAGGTCATGATCCCAGGGTTGTGGGATCAAGCTCCACACGGGGCTCCATGCTGAGCATGGAACCAACTTGGAATTTTCTCTCTCTCCCTCCCCTCTTTCCTTCCCCATGTGCACGCTCATGAACACATGCTGTCAAAAAATTAAAATGAAAAAAAAGACGCGTGACCTATCTTTGTCCAAATGGCCACCCAGTAATCTGCCATTCCTGCTCTTGACTTCATTGTTTCTTGGTCTTCTTTCTTCTGCTGTGAATTTTCTACTTCTTTGCAGGCTCTTCTCTACACTGAGATGCTCACTTGCCTGTTCATGGCCTCTGCTGCTTTGAGGCTCCTGTTTCCTGCCTTCTCTTTATATTTCTTTTGGCTCCAGAGCCACTCTACCATCTGAATTACTTTCATTGTGTCTTCTAATGGAAGACTAAATGGCTGGAGGTCAGCCAGTAGCTGCCTTTTACTCATTCCTTTAGATTGGGATGTCAGGGA